TCATGGAAGAGGACTCCAGTTGCAACCTGTGAAGCTCTGGTGAACTCCATGCCCAAGAGGGTTAAGGCAGTGCTGGAAAATAATGGTGGCCACACAAAATATTAACACTTTGGGCCCAATTTGGACATTTTTCACTTAGGGGTGTACTCAACTTTTGTTGCCAGCAGTTTTAGACATTAGCTGCTTACCTGCCACTGCAGATATACTGCTACACGGCTGCACAGGTGCGCAAAATCAAGTGTGTGTGTGTGATTTTGCACTTCCAGGTAGAGGGCACACGCACCCTTCCCCCGATGCCATTCGCGGCCACGGATGTCAATCACTGGGTTGTTTACAAGCAGTCTTCCTCCCTGTCAGCTCGGGCACACTGCTCGGAATGCCTGTGCGTAACACAGCCATTCCGATCAGTATGCTTGTTATATATCTATATCTATATAAATATATACATAGACACAGACACAGTGGGGCAAAAAAGTATTTAGCCAGCCACCAATTGTGCAAGTTCTCCCACTTAAAAAGATGAGAGAGGCCTGTAATTGGCATCATAGGTAGACCTTAACTATGAGAGACAAAATGAGAAAAAAAATCCAGACAATCACATTGGCTGATTTGGAAAGAATTTATTTGCAAATTATGGTGGAAAATAAGTATTTGGTCACCTACAAACAAGCAAGATTTCTGGCTCTCACAGACCTGTACCTTCTTTTTTAAGAGTCTCCTCTGTCCTGCACTCATTACCTGTATCAATGGCACCTGTTTGAGGTTGTGGTCAGGTGTCTTTTATACTGATAACAAGTTTCAAACAGTCACACTCCAAACTCCTCTACTATGGTCGAAGGACACCAGAAACAAAACTGTAGACCTGCACCAGGCTGGGAAGACTGAATCTGCAATAGGCAAGCAGCTTGGTGTGAACAAATCAACTGTGGGAGCAATAATTAGAAAATGGAAGACATACAAGACCACTAATAATCTCCCTCGATCTGGGCTCCACGCAAGATCTCAACCCGTGGGGTCAAAATGATCACAAGAACGGTAAGCAAAAATCCCAGGACCACATGGGGGGACCTAGTGAATGACCTGCAGAGAGCTGGGACCAATGTAACAAAAGCTACCATCAGTAACACACTACGCCGCCTGGGACTCAGATCCTGCAGTGCCAGACGTGTCCCCCAGCTTAAGCCAGTACATGTCCGGGCCCATCTGAAGTTTGCTAGAGAGCATTTGGATGATCCAGAAGAGGATTGGGAGAATGTCATATGGTCAGATGAAACCAAAATAGAACTGTTTGGTAGAAACAAAATGCGTCGTGTTTGGAGGAGAGAGAATGCTGAGTTGCATCCAAAGAACACCATACCTACTGTGAAGCATGGGGGTGGTAACATCATGCTTTGGGGCTGTTTCTCCGCAAAGGGACCAGGACGATTGATCCATGTACAGGACAGATTGAATGGGGCCATTTATCGTGAGATTTTGAGTGCAAACCTCCTTCCATCAGCAAGGGCATTGAAGATAAAACGTGGCTGGGTCTTCCAGCATGACAATGATCCCAAACATACCGCCCGGGCAACGAAGGAGTGGCTTCGTAAGAAGCATTTCAAGGTCCTGGAGTGGCCTAGCCAGTCTCCAGATCTCAACCCCATAGAAAACCTTTGGAGGGAGTTGAAAGTCCGTGTTGCCCAGCGACAGCCCCAAAACATCACTGCTCTAGAGGAGATCTGCATGGAGGAATGGACCAACATACCAGCAACAGTGTGTGCCAACCTTGTGAAGACTTACAGGAAACGTTTGACCTCTGTCATTGCCAACAAAGGATATATAACAAAGTATTGAGATGAACTTTTGATATTGACCAAATACTTATCTTTCACCATAATTTGCAAATAAATTCTCTCCAAATCAGCCAATGTGATTGTCTGGATTTTTTTTCTCATTTTGTCTCTCATAGTTGAGGTCTACCTATGATGCCAATTACAGGCCTCTCTCATCTTTTTAAGTGGGAGAACTTGCACAATTGGTGGCTGACTAAATACTTTTTTGCCCCAATATATATATCTATATATATATATATATCTAATATATATATATATATATATATATATATATATCTTTTTAATATAATGTTAGACTGTATTGTGTTTTTTTTTAGCTTTTTTTTTTTTTTTTTTTTTTTTTCTTCTTCCCTGAAGAAGCCCAGGCTGGCGAAACACGCCGGGAACTCTCATCTGGAAACAGTCAAGTGTTCTGTGATTATCAAGTCTATTGTAACCATTCTACTAAATGTAGTTTTACTGATTATTAAACTGTGAAAAAATTTTAAAGAAATGTTTTTCTAATTTATTCTTGGGCACCTTTAAAATCCCACAACCTATCCTTATCTGTATCTAACCTGAAGACACTTTGAAGCAGACCTATCCAGCCAGGTAAAAAAATTGCAGTAGAGCAACAAAATAAAATTGTGTTAAAATCAGAGCTGTGACCTTTTTGGTTAGATTATATAGTACCCTAAAATGCACTGGCGCCCAGAGTATGGACATTAAAGCAGGAGTAGAAAATGTGGGCCCCTGGGCTGCTTAAGCCATACTGTTAGTATGCACCACATACTAGCACAATATGACAGACTTGCCATAAAACGAAACCCTCTAGCGGCGCTCTGTCCCCGCTGTCAGCGCTTCTATCTTCACCTGGGTTCATACTCTACGGCTGTTACAGTGGCGTCACTCATGCACAGGAGTCATTGTTGCGCCACAGCGTTCTTTATGAACAGCACACTCGGTAGGGAATGCGTGCCTGAAAACGAAAACCAGGAAGTTCACTGACATACAGGTAGGTCACAGTATTTAGCTGTGCCGCTAGCTAGCATTAAATGTATGGTTAGCGGGCATCAAGTGTTTAAAATACTCCCTCACTGAGTTCTCTAGCTGCGGCACTGTGGAGAAATGAAAACAAAAAAATCTGAACAAAATAGTTTTGTGGCATGTTGTAAATAAAATAGAATTTTTTTTTTTCCTTACATTCACACCTGCATTTTGGCCCAAGTGTGTGTTCATGGGAGAACCCCAGCAGGGGGGTCCTAGCTATTAACTGCGGGAAGCATGCCCATTGAAAGCAATGGGAAGCCACTGGTTCCCACAGTTAATCGCTGCCGTTTGCATGTAATCTATGCAGTGGTCCCCTGCAAAGGATAAACCCAAGACACAGTGGGGTTTATTTACTAAAGCTGGAGAGTGCAAAATCAGACTCACTTCTGCATAGAAACCAATCAGCTTCCAGGTTTCATTGCCAAAGCTTCATTGAACAAGCTGAGGTTAGAAGCTGATTGGTTTCTATGCAGAAGGGAGTCTGATTTTGGACTCTCCAGGTTTAGTAAATAAACCCCACTGTGCCCAGGGCCCATCATTTGCAGGTGATTGTTGTATAGTGATTCCATTTGGCTGCAGTTAGCTGTGGGAACTAGCAGCTTCCTTGCTTTCAGTTGGACTGCCTCCTGCAGGTAATTGGGATGGTCCCCCCCCCCCCCCCCCAGGTTCTCGCATGTACACTGTTGGGCTAATTTGCATGTAATGATGTGGCCTGCAAATGCGCCCCTCATACAACTGCAATCTGAGTTCCTGGTCTGTATTCTTCTGGGCCAGTAATTTAGAGACCCTTGCAGGATAAAGTGACAGCAGGGGCATTTATCAAAACTGACTTTTTGTTTGCAGTTGCATTCTAAATCAAAGAAGCGACAGATTAGCGCGTGTGTGTGTGTGTGTGTGTGTGTGTGTGTGTGTGTGTGTGTGTGTGTGTGTATATGTATGTATGTATGTGTGTGTGTATATATATATATATATATATATATATATATATATATATATATATATATATATACACACACACACACACACACATACACAGTGGGGATCGAAAGTTTGGGCACCCCAGTTTGTAATTTGATGCCTTTTGGAGATTTTTCCATCTTTCCTTGGCTTTTTTATGCACATTAATACAAGTTTCTGATTGGACATTCTTTATATGTCAACAAACGTTAGATTTTATTTCCATCATTTACACTTTCAAAATAGCAGAAAACAAAAAAATGGCGTCTGCAAAAGTTTGGGCACCCTGCAGAGTTAATACCCCACTGTGTGTGTGTGTGTGTGTGTGTGTGTGTGTGTGTATGTGTGTGTGTATGTATGTGTATGTGTGTGTGTGTGTGTGTGTGTGTGTGTGCCCAATTTGCGCAGTAAATTAGCTGCTATAAAGGTACACCTATCTGCATGTGTTTAAAATGCTTTACAACGACTGGACAGCTCCAAACAGGACCAAGTGCTGCACTCCCTTAGTCCCAGGGGTTTAATGTTGGCCCCCGTTGTCAAGCCCAATGATAGATGCTTCTGGCATGTTTCCCACAATAAGGCATACGTTTAATTAAATACTGATTTACTGAACATTTCTGTGAGCGGACTGTATTGCAAAATGTGCTATGAATGTTTAAACCGTAATTCTGAATACTTAAACGACCAATTTAATTCGTAATATAAATATTTCCAGTTCTTTGTTTTCTTTTAAAATTGAGTCTGTTTGGAGCCGTCTAGGGAACAAGCTAGCATCCTCATGACTCACTCTGTGGGTGTGGTAGCCTGAGCCTCAGGGGGAACTTCAGATAATTTTTCTTTTAAATATTTATGAACATGGTATTTTCGGACCTCCTGTACAGCTGTGCCTTTTTGATAGAATTGATGTAGTTTTGTTGCTCACTCCTGGTTCAAGTATCTGTGATTTTGGCAGCAGTAAAATGAAAGTGTTGAATAAGCAGATGCTGAATTCGCTTACAATTGCTACTCTGTGAAGTGCTCTTTATTAGAAGTGTAAAGAATGTCTATTTGGAGCTTGCGCTGCAGCTTTCATACTATTTGCATCTTGCAACTGATTAATAAGGTGTGTATGCATAATATAATTCCACAATGTTCTTCTCTATTGAACCTTCCCTTCCTGCAGTATGATCTGAAACCCTGAGAATGGATTATTCCCATCTACACACCTATGCGCCTCCCCAGTATGTTCCAGAAAATACTGGGTACACGTATTCTTTAAGGTGAGACTTGTTCACAAAGGCACGTTATTACTGTTCTGAAACGCTATGAGAGCAGCTGTTATTCCGTGCTTGGAGATGGAAAGGTTGGGATTAGCCTGTCCAGACAATGCACTTAAGATGACCTATAATTCATACAGTATACTGGAATGGGTACACTTGGCTGTCTTGTCAACTTTAATAACCTGGGACTAGGTTACATGCCAGAGTCCATATTTGCACTAGCAATGCTACAGAAGATGACCATCTGCTTTCTTGTTTAGTACAATTAATGGCCTCTGTGAGTTTTTATTTAAGAAGATAAAGCATAGTAACCCATAACAATCAGCTGAGAAACCATACCTGAGTGTGTGTGTGTGTGTGTGTGTGTGTGTGTGTGTGTTCTGATGAAACATGAATGGATGTGTAATCCAGTAAGCATTCGATATCTAATGCCTAACTTTGTCAAGCGGTCAGAAATGGATCTATTCCTAAATTTCCTAAATTTGACATTTAAACATGATAAACAGGCTGTGTAGGCCAGGTTAATGAAGACTGGAGATTTAATTGTAGCACTGGCAAATAACACAGCCCAAAAAAGCTAAATGCACACTGCCTTAAACTGCTAATGCTCTTTTCAGAGAAAACACATGGGCAGCAGAGTGGCTAAATGGTTAGCTCTTCCGCCTGGAAGTACTGGGGGGGTCGTTGGTTTGAATCCCAACCACGGCACCACCTGCCTGGAGTTTGCATGTTCTCCCTGTGCCTGCATAGGTTTCTTCCGGGGTACTCCGGTTTCCTCCCACACTCCAAAGACATTGCTGGTTGGTTAACTGGATCCTGTCTAAATTGTCCCTAGTATGTATGAATGTGAGTTAGGGACCTTAGATTGTACGCCCCTTGAAGGTTAGGGACTGATGTGAATGTACTATATATAGATAGATAGCGCTGCGTAAATTGATGGCGCTACATAAGCACCTGAAATAAATAAGTAATGCTCTTTTCAGAGAAAACACATGTTAATTTTAAGGTGTGTGTGTGCGTGTGTGCGTGTGCTAGCGTTTTGGTTTTTTGAGCGCTTTTCTGGCAGAAAAAGAAACGCTGTTTTTTTTTTTTTTTCTGCCTCAAAGATGAGCTTAAACGCTCAAGACTACCTCCAAGCTGCTTCTACAGGCAAAATGCTAAACTCCTCTAGGAGTATACCCTTTTTGGTGACCAAGTACCGATACTTTGATCAGCACCGTGACCCAAATCGCACCACAATCAAAAGCAGTCCAGCTCGTACTGCCATCCCTGCATGGAGAGGAGAGAAAGTCGTGGGGAATTCAAATCCCCAGACCTGTGAAGCAGCTTTCTTTTTGTGACAGCATGGCTTTGGTGCAGGGAAGTTTCCCACACCATTCCTGCGTGAACTCGGGCTGTGACAAGCCTAGATTCACACAGGGGCAGTGGGAACAGGGATCGCACTGCATTCCTTTTCAAATAGCATGCTATTCATTGTGGTACAAAGCTAGTCGTATTTGTGTCTTTTTTGGGTCTTAACACTATAAAGCTTTACTATATCTAATGGAGATCAATATTGTAAAGTGTATGGCTGGCTTAGAAAAAAATGACACTATGAAAACAAAGTATGAGATGCAGGTGCCTAAATGTACAGTTAGTAATTTGTTTAACCTGATTTCCTGGCTGTATTTACGGGGTTGTGTGCCTTGTCCTGTCTCCTGTGGCAGCCTATAATGGTGAAGGGTCAACAGGAACATAAGGGGTTGTGAAAGGCTGGCCAATCTCTGACAGAGGCACTGAAGTATTGCCTGTCAGAAGCTCTTGGTGCCAGCACTACATACATATCACAGTTTTTTTAGCTTCCCTATAGGGACAGAAATGTAGTCTTTCCAATGATTGTTTTTTTCGTTTTAGTTTTTGCTTTTGTAATTTTTATTTTTTTAATTGCTCACCACAAATTAACACTGATAAAGCTGTTAATTAGTAGGGATGCTTTCTTTCAATGTGTACATTCTTCTGACCTCAAAGGTTCCAGATTTTAGTATTCTTTATTTTGAGCACTTTGGCTGCTTCTGGATTTACTTAGGCATCGTTTAGATGGGCTTACTTCATCGTACACCCATGCAAGGGCCATGTTGGGGATGTATAGGCAGTCCCATTCAGGTCGATTGGGACGCGGCACTTAGAATGCAGACATTGTGCATTCGGGGCTGTCAGACTGGGAGCAGCTGTTGTGTCCATGCAGCCACTGCATCCTAATTGAAATGAATAAGGCTGCCTGCATGGAGATGCACAGAACACCTGTACAACACTGTGTGGGCAAATGTGGCCATCACACAGGCGTACACTGAAGGTCACCCATGTAAATGAATATATCAAAAATAAATAAAAAAATTTTTCCTGCTTTAGCTAGAGTAGAGAAGAGTTTTCCCTACCTGAAGTAAACTGATTTACTATCTTACACATTGTCACCAAAATGTTTGTCCCCCACTGATTTGCCCTCACTTCCTGCTCTGGTGACAACTAGTCACTTCAGTGACCATGTTTACCAGGACAAATAAAGGGGTGCAAGGGTGTGGAAACGTACTTGTCCAGGGACTAAATCGGTGTCCCAATCTACTTGTCCCTCATAACAATCTACTTGTCCTGATAAAAAAATAAATACATTTTAACCAAAACCGTATTTAGATCTGAGGTGATGCTGGGAATGTCTGGGACTTTTAAAAACAAAAGATGCTTTATGGTGACTTAAATGTTTAATTTTTTTGACATTGCACTGTTTATCTCCTCCTCCCCAATTTTTGGTAAAATAAAAAAGATGAGGTTTCACCGAGTAATTAGATTTCCAGCATGTCAAACCTTAAATTTGTGTGCACTCGTGAAATGGCGACAAACTTCAGTACCGTGTATGTATGTATGTGTGTGTGTGTGTGTGTGTGTATATATGTGTGTATATGTATATATATTATATATGTGTTGTTGTGTGTGTGTGTGTATATGTGTGTGTATATATATATATATGTATACAGTCAGGTCCATAAATATTGTGACATGGACACAATTCTAACATTGTTGGCTCTGTACACCACCACAATGGATTTGAAATGAAACAAAAACGATGTGCTTTACCTGCAGACTGTCAGCTTTAATTTGAGGGTATTTACATCCAAATCAGGTGAACGGTGTAGGAATTACAACAGTTTGCATATGTGCCTCCCACTTGTTAAAGGACCAAAAGTAATGGGACAATTGGCTTCTCAGCTGTTCCATGGCCAGGTGTGTGTTATTCCCTCATTATCCCAATTACAATGAGCAGATAAAAGGTCCAGAGTTCATTTCAAGTGTGCTATTTGCATTTGGAATCTGTTGCTGTCAACTCTCAAGATGAGATCCAAAGAGCTGTCACTATCAGTGAAGCAAGCCATCATTAGGCTGAAAAAACAAAACAAACCCATCAGAGAGATAGCAAAAACATTAGGTGTGGCCAAAACAACTGTTTGGAACATTCTTAAAAAGAAGGAACGCACCGGTGAGCACAGCAACACCAAAAGACCCGGAAGACCACAAAAACAACTGTGGTGGATGACTGAAGAATTCTTTCCCTGGTGAAGAAAACACCCTTCACAACAGTTGGCCAGATCAAGAACACCTCCAGGAGGTAGGTGTATGTGTGTCAAAGTCAACAATCAAGAGAAGACTTCACCAGAGTGAATACAGAGGGTTCACCACAAGATGTAAACCATTGGTGAGCCTCAAAAACAGGAAGGCCAGATTAGAGTTTTGCCAAACGACATCTAAAAAAGCCTTCACAGTTCTGGAACAACATCCTATGGACAGATGAGACCAACATCAACTTGTACCAGAGTGATGGGAAGAGAAGAGTATGGAGAAGGAAAGGAACTGCTCATGATCCTAAGCATACCACCTCATCAGTGAAGCATGGTGGTGGTAGTGTCATGGCGTGGGCATGTATGGCTGCCAATGGAACTGGTTCTCTTGTATTTATTGATGATGTGACTGCTGACAAAAGCAGCAGGATGAATTCTGAAGTGTTTCGGGCAATATTATCTGCTCATATTCAGCCAAATGCTTCAGAACTCATTGGACGCAACTTCACAGTGCAGATGGACAATGACCCAAAGCATACTGCAAAAGCAACCAAAGAGTTTTTTTTAAGGGAAAGAAGTGGAATGTTATGCAATGGCCAAGTCAATCACCTGACCTGAATCCGATTGAGCATGCATTTCACTTGCTGAAGACAAAACTGAAGGGAAATGCCCCAAGAACAAGCAGGAACTGAAGACAGTTGCAGTAGAGGCCTGGCAGAGCATCACCAGGGATGAAACCCAGCGTCTGGTGATGTCTATGCGTTCCAGACTTCAGCCTGTAATTGACTGCAAAGGATTTGCAACCAAGTATTAAAAAGTGAAAGTTTGATTTATGATTATAATTCTGTTCCATTAGTTTTGGTCCCTTAACAAGTGGGAGGCACATATGCAAACTGTTGTAATTCCTACACCGTTCACCTGATTTGGATGTAAATACCCTCAAATTAAAGCTGACAGTCTGCAGTTAAAGCACATCTTGTTCGTTTAATTTCAAATCCATTGTGGTGGTGTATGGAGCCAAAAATGTTAGAATTGTGTCCATGTCCCAATATTTATGGACCTGACTGTGTGTGTGTGTGTGTGTGTGTGTGTGTGTGTATATATATTATAGGCAGCCCTTTTAAAGACCCTTATAGGTCATCAGTTTAGTGTTATGGAGGAGGTCTGGTGCTAGAATTATTGCTCTCATTCTGTCTGGCTTGTGTGGCGATATGTAACGTGTATCGCAATTGTCATTTTCATGCATTTACTTTTGTACGTGTGTATATGTGGGGGGACCTAAAAAAAAATTATATATATATATATATATATATATATATATATATATATATATATATATATATATATATATATATATATTTTTTTTTTTTTTTTTTTTTATCTATCTTATTTTTCTTTTTGAGAGGATGTTAT